GATTGTAACAACGGAGACGCCTTTCAATAAAGCTTTTCAAAATAAAATGTATTCATTTAGCAACAACGTTAGCCACAAACCAATGCTAACAGGAAATGAAATATTTTCAGAATAAAACAGTTTTAAGCTTACAGTATGTTTAAACTAAATTACGTCATTAAACATTGATTTTAATTTCTTACACCCTGCATCTTCTATTTCAATCTTTTTAGCAGATTTAGCGTTTTTAGTGAGAAAGAATTCCGAGATACTTGTCACTTGTGTTGTGCGTCATAAAAGTAGCCGACTAAAAACTAACAAAAAACTTTTTTTCCACATCTTTTTTATTTTTCTTCCCTTAAGCGAAATAATTGATNGATGAAGGAATCATTCAGGTGTGTCTCCCTCTGTGATCCTGAGGGTGTCCATGCCTTCATCCTGGTCCTACCTGTGGATCCCCTCACTGATGAAGACAAGGGAGAGTTAGAGACCATCCAGAACACATTCAGCTCTAGAGTCATGGACTTCACCTTGATTCTGTTCACTGTGGAGTCAGATCCTTCAGCTGATGATGTTGTTAACTTTCTAAAGGAGAACAAGGACATCCAGAAGCTCTCTCAGAGATGTGGAGGAAGACATGTTGTACTCAACATCAAGGACCAGCAGCAGATCCCAGAGCTGTTGGATGCTGTTGAAGAGACGAGAGTCGGAGGATCCGTGTGCTTCACAAAGGACATGTTCATCGAGGCTCAGATGACGATGGTGGTAGAGTTAGATAAAACTAACAAAAGACTTCAAGCTGAACTGCAGGATGTTCAAAAGAAAAGGGAGATGGGAGATCATGATGAAAGACAGAACAGAGAGTGTCTCAGGATGGTGCTGATTGGGAAGACTGGCAATGGGAAGAGTGCAACTGGAAACACTATTTTGGGAAAAGAACATTTTACATCCAATGCCAGCTCAAAGTCAGTGACCAAATGTTGCGAGAAAGCAACAGGAAAGATTGATGGACGTCCTGTCGCTGTGCTGGACACCCCCGGTTTGTTTGACAGGACACTGTCCAACGAGGCTGTTCAAGAGGAGCTTGTTAAATGCATCAGCATGTTGTCTCCTGGACCTCATGTGTTCCTACTGGTGCTGCCGATAGGCCGATTTACACCAGAAGAAGAAGACTCTGTGGAACTGATCAAGAAATGGTTTGGAAAGAAATCCGGAGATTTCATCATCATTATTTTCACCAGAGGAGATGATCTGAAAAATACACCAATCGAGAGTTACGTAAAAGACAGTGATGACTCTTTGAAAAAACTGATAAATGACTGTGGAGGGAGATACCAGGTCTTCAATAACCATGTCAAAGACCACATGCAGGTCAGAGAGCTGATGGTGAAGTCCTACAAAATGCTGAAGGAAAATGGGGGCAGCTGCTACACCTCAGAGATGTTCCAAGAGGCCGAGGCCGCCATACAGAAGAAAGTGGAGAAGATCCTGAAGGAGAAGGAAGAAGAGATGCAGAGAGAGAGGGAGGAGCTGAAAAGAAAACACGAGGAGGAAGTGGAAGAAGTGAAGAGAAGAATGGAACACGAGAGAGATACAATTCAGCAGGAGAGAGAAAAACAGCTTAAAGAAATGGAGGAACAAATCAACAAGGAAAAAGAGCAGAGAGGAAGGGAAGAGGAACAGAGAAAGAAAAAGGACAAGGAGAAGAAAATGAATGAAGAAATGAAACGAAAGGAATGGGAGGAAAAACTAGAAGGAGAGTTGGAGCAGAGTAAAGAAAAGATGAAAAAGCAAAAAGAAGACTGGGAGAAGAAGAGAGAAGAATGGTGGGAAGAACAAAGTCAAGAAAATGAAAAGAGACGACGAGAGGAGCATACAAGACTTCAGAAGTTGCAAGATGAATACGAGCAGGAAAGAGAAAAACATGAAAACAAAAGAAAAGAAGAAGATCTAAAGAGAAGAGAACAGGAGGAGAAGGAGAGACAAGAGTTGGAGGGAAAATATAAGAAAGAACTGGTGGAGATGAAGAAGAAATATGAAGAGGAGGCAAGAAAACAAGCTGAAGAATTCAACGAGTTCAGAGAGGAATACTCCAAGGACTTTGCCGCCTTGGTGGAGAAGCACATGGAGGAAATAGAGGACATGAAGAAAGAGCATGAAAGACAAACTCAAGAGACAGGAAAGAGCCATGACAAAGATTACAAGCTGTTGCAAAACCTCTCAAAACACAAAGAAAAAGAAAAATCAGAAGACATGAAGAAAAAGCACGAACAAGAATTAAAGGATCTAAAACAAAAATACAAGAACAAGTGTTTAATCCTCTGACCTTAAGTCAGTAAAGAGCCAACGATAGCTTAATATAACTGAGAAGCATACATAACAAAATATTTAAAATAAAAGTAGAAATTACACAAGCTTCAAAATATGCAATACACATCCAGTACCAGTACAGGTTTGAGATAGCAGCCAGGGGAAAGTATTAAAGGTGGACGTTTATATTGCAATGCTATTTACGCTCAATATATGTATTGCAAATAAGTAGTATTTAACAACAGGGGAGTTACAATATTTGGGGGTGTGGCCGTCTACCAGGGGCCGTGGAGGGTGTAGAGTCTTGACCGCTGCAGGAAGGAAGGACCTGCGGTATCTCTCAGTGAGACAGCGGGGGTGCAGCAGCCTGTCTCTGAAGGAGCTGCACAGTGAGGACAGGGTGTCCTGGAGGAGGTGGGACACATTGTCCAGCAGGGAGGACAGCTTGGCTGCCATTCTCCTGTCTCCCACCACCTCCACAGTGTCCAGAGGACTCCTGTCTCCCACCACCTCCACAGTGTCCAGAGGACTCCTGTCTCCCCCCACCTCCACAGTGAGGACTCCTGTCTCCCACCACCTCCACAGTGTCCAGAGGACTCCTGTCTCCCCCCACCTCCACAGTGAGGACTCCTGTCTCCCACCATCTCCACAATGTCCAGAGGACTCCTGTCTCCCCCCACCTCCACAGTGACCAGAGGATACAAAATGATTTTGTATCATTGTAAACCTGCTAGTAATTCCTTCTTTTTTTTTTGAAGTGTAACAGTAATCTGATTGGGTATTGTTTAGGTTAATGTAAGGGAAATACAGTTACCTTTTTTCTGTATAATGATGACGGAATCCCATGAGATTAGTGATGTGTCGTTCGCAAACGAGACGGCTCTAAGAGCCAATGCTTTGTAGCAGGGGTGCGGGAAGGGGGATGCTGAGGGCTCTGCAGCACCCCCTAGCGGCAGACAGGCGGAGCTCCTCTGCCTGCACATTTTATTTTTTTATATATTTTCATTTAATTTCATTGTGCCTGAGATATATTTTATATTATTATTCAAATGATAATTTTAAACTATATAATCAATTATTTCGCTTAAGGGAAGAAAAATAAAAAAGATGTGGAAAAAAAGTTTTTTGTTAGTTTTTAGTCGGCTACTTTTATGACGCNGAACAGACAAAGACTGAAGTTCATCCTGAGTCTGTTTGGTCCAGAAGCTTTATTTCAGTCTTTCTGTCATTGTGGGTTATGATGACCATTGAGTGTTTAAAAGCTTCTGGACCAAACAGACTCAGGATGAACTTCAGTCTTTGTCTGTTCTCTTCAGTGAAATCAGAAGGCTTCACTATCAGCAGCAGGACATTGGGTCCAGGAGAACAAAGACTCACAACGCTCTTCACCTCGGTTCTCACTAACTCTTCTGATAGATGGAACATTTCTTTCGTTTTCACTACTTTCAACTGTTTCCCCTTCCACTCTCCATTGGTTGTCAGAGAGTGTGTGATGGGGAACATAAGACCTTTGCCCTCTGTGATTAAGGAACCAATTCCATTTTTGTTGTCCTTACCTTTTCCCAATAGCACAATCCTGAATGCAGGTGCTGTAATATAACATAAGAAAAATTAAATAACATTAACTCATACAGACTGAAATCATTACACTGTGCTTACACGAAATATTCTCCAGTAATTTTGTAGATTAACCATTAATGAAAACGTTAAATAAAACATGGCACGAAACAGAAACACTGATTTTATCTTGATTTTATAAATGACCTTTTCTGTTTTTATTTTCTTGACAGTGAATATAAATGTTGTTTTCCTCAACATCGTTATGGCATTTTTAATATATCACTGTAACTACCAACTATAGATGATATGAAATTAGAAAAACAACTTCCTTATTTTGGGAGAGTTACATTGGTTGAAATGGATTTAGTGCATTTATCCAGTTGTGGGATGCGTTTCGGTTAATACTGGAGAAAAGATGATACCAATACATGATAAGCACTGAAATTATGAGAGTATTTTTTTTAAAATACATTTACTTACAATTAATCACAGTGGTCAACCCTTGGAGTAACAATGGTGAATTGATTGATTCAACACCACGCAGCCCTGTAAAAGAGGACATCATTATTTTGCAGCTTAATGTTCTAATTGAATCATGTATGATTTGAATAACAGAGTTTTCATTGTCCTTCACCTACCAGCAGCNTGTGTGTGTGTGTGGTTGTGTGTGTGGTGTGTGTGTGAACTTACTGTTTTGTCCTGGGTTTTCATGACATGACAGTATAATAAGGACCTCTCGATATGCATACGACTACCTGTCTGCTTATCTAAGGACTGTAAATTTTTTTTATGATAATACACACTTTTTAATAACTAGATCTCTAGGCCCGGTGTCAGGGGCCGTACGGGTCTGGTCCGCTGACGGGTGACACATTAGGGTAATGTGACGACTTAGACAATACAAGTACGACTATCGGCATCCACAATCGATTGATCGAAAGCGTAATTGAAAAAGAAAGAGTAACAGTTTCTCATGTTAGTTGGGAGTACCACGTCTAATTAGAGAAAGACAAATCAGCTTGAAGACCAAGAAGTAAACATATTTCTGCGTAATCCATTGAGGACGATCACATCCACAACGTCAGTAGTATAGACATACATCCTAACAGTTAGTACAACATTATAAGAAGACCTTGTGACCCACCACATCCACTCGTACCTTGTTACCCTCGAGGGGTCGGTGTCCACCTCACTACACTTGCGGGAGCCATACTCGAGTAGTAAAAAAAAGTACCCGGTACGTTTGTTACTCAAACAACACTAAAATATATTAATTTTATGGTGTAACGAACGTTCACCATGGTGTTCAGCAGACATAACTTAAATGAAAAGGTTTGATCAAAATAGAAACATGCTATTGACAAATATAAAACGTCTCAAGTACTTGAAGACAATATAATTTACTACAAGAATCATCTTTGACAGTTCACTTTTGGGAGGTATAAAAATTTATACCTCAAAGACCGGTCAGTGACGATGATAAATGGGGAGGACAACAGAAAACCCATTTTAGACTGGCTAAATGATGAAGTAGTTAAGTATTGAAAAAACAAAATGTAAGCTAAGCGTCATTCCGAAATACTATAGAAGTGTCATCTAATAAACTTGTATATTGTAACGACTAGTGGTGAAAGTAACTTAAAACCCTACTAAATCAGTTGACTACACGGTGGATTTCTTTTCCTTAATCATTGGTAGGCCTAGTCTATTTTGTGTGTGGTGTGTGTGTGTGTTTGTTGTTTGTGGGGGGGGGTGTGTGTGTGTGTGATATGAGATCTACACAAGAGGGGAATACACCGGGGTACACTTAGTGGTGGACCGTGTGTGTTTGTGTGTGTGTGTGTGTGTGTTTGTGTGTGTGTGTGTGTGTGGTTGTTAAACTGTGTAAAAGGTGAAATATCACGGGTAGGGGCGGGTATAACCTAGTTGGACCTTGTCGCGTTATGTACAAGTCACAATAACGGAAAGATAAATGACGTCAGAAAAATACATATGCATCAGATCCTATGTTAAACATGTCTAAACTTTCCCACAACTTACTTTAAACACGCCCTTTGTTTCTGCTTATCCTCCAAAACTGTCGTGTAATTTGACAAACACAGTAGGGAAACAAAAGAAAATGTTTATCGAGATGTCAATCTGTACTCGACGGTGATCTCCCCCGCGGGGACAGACACTCGTCGAACAAGAATTTCCAAACCCCTAAGGACAAGTTACTAGGAGTCGGACCCTGACGAACACAACAGTGACGTCACCGCTTACATAAATCATACTAAGGACCAAGAATAGTTAATAGTAAGTATGACAAAAGTAATTTTACACGAAAACGGAGACGACAACGGGTTGTATATCAAGAGTAAATTACCAGATTTAGTCCCCGGTCCGTTGGAAAAACTATACTTCACGGTAAATTTGTTTGTTTACCACTAGTCAACACGGTTTAGGGTGTAATTCAATAGTAATTGAACGTTAATACTTGTAGTGTTAGTGTAAAGTTGCCTGAGCATTAACAAATGTAGTTTCACGGAACCGGTTTTTAAAAAATTTTCTTTTCGTCAGGTAGGAATACTTTTGTAGTGTAGACTAATTTAGTGTATTAGTGGTTACTCCATAATTCGAATGGTTAGGAAGTCGGTTATGTGCACGTTACACAATTGTCGTTCAGGTTTTGCCCACTTAATTTACATTGTTGTCTTTTGTACTCGTGGATCATACGAGGGGAGGTAGTACTATTTGTAGGTGTAGGCTAAATAGTGTGTTGTCCGTCGAAAAAAAATTTTAAAAATATAACTCCAATTTTCGGTAGTTAGACCACGTGAACCACTCATCTTTTAATTATCTAGATACATATGTAGAGAGTTGTGGGTATACTTTGTCTTGACATTTGTCTAAAAGAAAACCTATGTAAAATGTTTAGTGAGGGAAAATTTGACTAAGAATAAAATGAACAGTATATCATAAAGTATGGACAAAAAGTAAATAAGAGATTACAAAAATATTGATATTGCTAGTATATTTCCACATGAAATGAAGTGGACTAGACTCCTATATAAACTACGTTACGGCAAATTCGGTTTTAATTTATTTATGTAATTTATTTATGTATTATTTATATACGGATACTTTATGTAAGACTTTATTTATTCCGTATTATATATACTACAATGTAAATTTATGTGTAAATAAATAAAGTCTCTGAAGATAAAGTATTACCGGTGTACATAAATAAAGTCCCCTGAAGATAAGGTATTACGGGTAATGTAAAGGTAAAGGAATATAAGGTTTACTTGCCCCGAGGTGTCTGAGGTCTGGGTTCCGTTAGTCCGTGGTTTGGTAGACCGACGCAGAGTGAAGACTATTTACTTTAGGAACGCAGGGAGTAACGTAGCAAAGGGACACAAATCAGGGAGGGTGGTCCCTTCGTACCTCTCCTGCGTTCCTTTGGTGCTCTTCGTCCCTTATACCTCCAAAATTCTCATTACCCCTGCAGGAAATGAGGCCCTCGCAGGTGCACTTCGAGATGTGACTGAATCACTTGTACCGACTAGCGCTACAAAACCCCTTGTACGGCGATGCCGCAACCAGCGTGTGCACCTCCGCGTGTAAACGGACCGCGGTCCAGGCATCTGCTACCTGGACTATATTGTATAAAGTGCACCACCGCCACGACCCCTCGAGGTGCAGTAGGTACAACCAATCTAAATAGCCGTCTAGCCGGGATGCGGTACCGTTTATACTCCACCTAATTTCGGGAAGAGGAATTCTTAATCGAATAGACGATTCCTCTCCCAGCGGTCCTAAAAGCTCTTAAGTCCCAGGAGTAGGGAGGAGGGCCGAAGGCAGGGAGGAGGGGGGAGCGACCGGGGGGACAAGGGAGGGAGACCCTGGACGAATATGAGGGACCCGCCAGACCGCACGACACCCTGTCGTTCGGAGGGTAGGGGATTCAGGGTCGAGTACCTCTTCTACGACTTAACGACCCCCACCCTTCCTAGGGGCTAAAACAAACACCTCTGCAAGGACGCGGTGAAACGGTAGGGGCACAAGTCTGCTGGCGACCGAATCTGTGCTGGTAAATGACTTGGGGCCGACGGGACCGACTCTCTCCGGCCTAGCAAAGAAGGACCGCTGTGTCGTCGGGCCACGCCTGTGTGTGTGTGTGTGTGTGTGTGTGTGTGTGTGTGTGTGTGTGTGTGTGTGTGTGTGTGTGTGTGTGTGTGTGTGGCAGGAGCACATTTTGTGTGAGTGAGTAAGTGAGAGAGAGTGTGAACCGGAGGTAGAGTTTTAATGAATTATTTACATGTAATATTGTGTATTCTTTGAATACTCTATTGATATATACTGGTATATATATATTAATTTTAACGTTCAATTGTCGGGCTAAGCCCCCGATGTAACTAGATCCAGGCAACGCCCCCGGGATTACGTAATCATAATACAAAGAAAAAAAGATAACTGTATTTCCCGGCTTACATTAACCTTAACAATACATAATCAGAATACTGTTACATTTCTAAAACAGAAAAGGAATTACAGGTTTACAATGTTACAATACGTTTAAAAATAAAAAACAATATATTACAAAGCACTATAATTAAGTAATTTTAATGGTTTGCATTTTTAGCCCTCCTAACAATTAGAAGAAGAAAGAAAAAGGTGGCGTTCTAAACAACACAAACTGTATGAAAACAGTACGATGCGATTGGTTATTAATGAGTACTTACAGAAATCCTCTTCGGTGAAGAAAAATGTTCAGTTGGTGTTGTAGTTTGTTCTTAGTGTCCCTATTGGACCTTGATGAGTTGACATGATGTTCCATCTAGTAACATCATGATGATCATGAGTCAGTGGGAAAGTCAGAGGATGATACACTTGTGTTTTTGTTTTAGTTCATTTATTTCTTGTTCTTGCTTTCTCTCCATGAGCTGTATTTGTTCTTTTAGACTTTTTTCTTTGTGTCTGTTAAGATCTTGTAGCAGATCGTATCTTTTGCCATGGCTCTCTCCTTTCTCTTCCATTTGTATTTTATGCTTTTTCTTCAGGTCCTCTATTTCCTCCATGTGCTTCTCCAGCAAGGCTGTAAAGTCCTTGGTGTATTTCTGTTTGAACTCGTTGAATTCTTCAGCTTGTTTTCTGGCCTCCTCTTCATATGTATTCTTCATCTCCTCCAGTTCTTTCTTATATTTTCCCTGTAATTCCTGTCTCTCCTTCTCCTTCTGTTCACTTCTCTTTAGATCTTCTTCTTTTCTTTTCTGTTCATGTTTCTCTATTTCCTGATCGTATTCTTCTTGCGACCTCTGAATTCTTGTTTGCTCGTCTCGTCGTCTCTTTTCATTTTCTTGACGTTGTTTTCCCCACCATTCTTCTCTCTCCTTCTCCCAGTCTTCTTTTTGCTTTCTCATCTCTTCTTTTTTGTCCTCTAACTCTCCTTCAAGTTTTTGCTCCAATTCCCTTTGCTTCATGTCCTCCTGCCTTTTCTTCTCCATCGCTTCTTTTTTTCTCAGTTCTTCTTCTCTTCTTCTCTCCTCCCCTTCCTTGTTTATTTTATACTGAAATTCTTCATGTTGTTTGGCTCTTTCCTTCTCAATTTCCTTCTTAATCTTTTGTTCATTATTTTGTCTTTCTTGCTCGTATTCTTCTTGCGACTTTTTCATTCTTGTTTGCTCCTCAAGTTGTCTCTTCTCATTTTCTTGGCGTTGTTTTTCCCACCATTCTTCTCTCTCATTCTCCCAGTCTTCTTTTTGCTTTCTCATCTCTTCTTTACTCTGCTCCAAATCTCCTTCAAGTTTCTTCTCCCATTCCTTTCGTTGCAGTTCTTCCTGCCTTTTCTTCTCCATGTCCTCTTTTTTCCTCTGTTCCTCTTCCCTCCCTCTCTCCTCTCGTTCCTTGTTGATTTTTTCTTCCATTTCTTTAAGTTGTTGGGCTCTCTCCTGCTCAATTTCTTCTTTTCTTTTCATTTCAAGTTGTTCTCTTTCCTGATTGTATTCTTCTTGCAAATTCTGAATTCTTGTTTGCTCCTCTTGTCGTCTCTTTTCATTTTCTTGACGTTGTTTGTTCCACCATTCTTCTCTCTCCTTCTCCCAGTCTTCTTTCTGCTTTCTCTTCTTTTCTTTACTCTGCTCCAACTCTCCTTCAAGTTTTTCCTCCCATTCCTTTTTTGTAATTTCATCCTGCTTTTTCTTCTCCTTGTCCTCTTTTATTCTCCGTTCCTCTTCCATCCTTCTCTCCTCTCGTTCCTTGTTCCTTTTTTCCTCCATCTCTTGAAGCTGTTTGGCTCTCTTCTGCTCAATCTCAGCTCTCTCCTTTTCCATTCTATTCATCACTTCTTTCATTTCCTCCTCGTGTTTTCTTTGCAGCTCCTCCCTCTGTCTCTGCATCTCTTCTTCCTTCTCCTTCAGGATCTTCTCCACTTCCTTCTGTATGGCGGCCTCGGCTTCTTGGAACATCTCTGATGTGTAACAGCTGCCGCCATTTTCCTTCAGCATTTTGTTGGACTTCTCCATCAGCTCTCTGACTTGCATGCGGTCCGTTTCATTGTTGTTATTGAAGACCTGGTATCTCCCTCCACAGTCAATGATCAGTTTCTTCAAAAAGCCACCAGACTTTTCTATGTAGGTCTGGATTGGTGTGTTTTTAAGATCATCTCCTTTGGTGAAAATAATGATGATGAAATCTCCAGATTTCTTGCCAAAATATTTCTTGATCAGTTCCACTGAGTCTTTTTCCTCTTGTGTAAATCGGCCGATCGACAGCACCAGTAAGAACACATGAGGTCCAGGAGACATCATGCTGATGCATTTAACAAGCTCCTCTTGAACAGCCTCTTTGGACAGTGTCGTGTCAAACAAGCCGGGGGTGTCCACCACGGCAACAGGTCTTCCACCAACCTCTCCTGCTGCTTTTTCGCAAAACTGGGTCACTGACTCTGTGCTTGGAGCCGATGTAAAATGTTCTCTTCCCAAAATGGTGTTTCCAGTTGCACTCTTCCCACTGCCAGTCTTCCCAATCAGCACCATCCTGAGACACTCTCTGTTCTGACTTTCATCAACATCTCCCATCTCACTTTTCTTTTTAACGTCCTGCAGTTCAGCTTTAAGTTCTACCACCTTCTTCATCTGAGCCTTGGTGAACATCTTCATTGTGAAGCACCTGGATCCTTCCATGCTGGTCTCCCCCACAGTATTCAACAGCTCTGGGATCTGCTGCTGGCCCTTGATGTTGAGAACAACATATCTTCCTCCACAGCTCTGACGGAGCTCCTGGATGTCCTTGTTCTCCTTTAGAAAGTTAATAACAGCTGGAGCTGTAGGATCTGACTCCACAGTGGACAGAATCAAGGTGAAGTCGTTGACTCGAGGGCTGAATGTGTTCTGGATGATCTCTAACTCTCCCTTGTCTTCATCAGTGAGGGGACCCACAGGTAGGACCAGGATGAAGGCATGGACGCCCTCAGGATCACAGAGGGAGACACACCTGAATGATTCCTCCATCACTTCCTCCTGAGGTGTTCCACACAAAGCAGGCAGCTCCACCAGGGAAACCCGGCGTCCACACACCTCTCCCTGATGTTTAACACACTCTGAGGAGTTGGAGACTGAAGGAAACTCTGTCTGACCTAAAATGGCTTTGGCTGCTGAAGTCTTCCCTGCTCCTCTCCTCCCACACAGAACCAGGTTTAAAGCTGGTTTGATGTCTTCAGTGAAGGTGAGAAACGTTTCTTTGTTTTCATGAACTATCTTCTCAATCTTATCCATCAATGAGTCACGGTTGTTTTCAACCATGTTGTAGAGTCTTCCTCCACAGTCTTCAAGCAGCTGATCCACTATTTCAGTCTTACTGTCATTGTGGGTTATGATGACCATTGAGTGTTTAAAAGCTTCTGGACCAAACAGACTCAGGATGAACTTCAGTCTTTGTCTGTTCTCATCAGTGAAATCTGAAGGATTCACTAACAGCAGCAGGACATTGGGTCCAGGAGAACAAAGACTCACACAGCTCTTCACCTCTCTTCTCACTAACTCCTCTGATATAGTGAACATGTGTGTAGTTTTCACTACTTCCACCTGTTTTCCCTTCCACTCTCCATGGTTTGTCACACAGTGTGTGATGGAGAAAAACTTTTGGATGCAAAGATCTTTTCCCTCTGTGATAAAGTAACTGATCTTTTTTTGTTTGTCCTCACTTTTTCCCAATAGCACAATCCTGAATGCAGATGCTGTAATATAACAGAAGAACAATTAAATAACATGAACTCATACAGAATGAAATCATTACACTGTGCTCACACAAAATATTCTCCAGTAATTTTGTGTATTAACCATTTATGAAATTGCTAAATAAAACACGGTACGAAACAGCTCACAGATTTTATCTTGATGATATAAATGACCTTTTCTGTTTTTATTTTATTGACAGGGAATATAAATGTTTTTTTTCTAAACATTGTAATGGAATTTTTATATATCACTGTAACTACTGTAGATGATATGAGAGTAGAAAAACAACTTCCTTTTTTGGGAGAGTTACATTGGTTGAAATTGATTTAGTGCATTTATCCAGTTGTGGAATGCATTTAGGTTAATACTGGAGAAAAGATGCAACCAATGATAAGCACTGACATTATGAGAGTATTTCTTTAACAATACATTTACTTACAATTAGTCACAGTGGTCGACCCTTGTAACAATGGTGAAGTGATTGGTTCAGCACCACGCAGCCCTGTAAAAGAGGACATCATTATTTTGCAGCTTAATGTTCTAATTTAATCATGTATCATGATTTGAATTACAGAGTTGTCATTGTCCTTCACCTACCAGCATCTAGAACAGCTTCTGTGATACGAGGAAACGTTGTTCCCTTTGGTTTTTGACTTCGATGATCAACCGGTAAGGAAGACGTGGTGTCCTCGAACACATCACAGCTCACATACTCTCCATAGTTCTCCTTTTGACAGTTTGACCCAAGCGTGTTAACAGCTCTGGATGTTGAAGGTTCTCCAGCTTCAAGTATCTGTATCTACATCTCCTGATCATGTCTTGTAATGGGGGTTGTCCCATGTATTGTTCCATTAAACCTGAACCCTCCTCTCTGGGTGGTGCTATGAGCATCAGTGAATGATTAAATGACTGATCACTGAAGAGTCCCAGGACTCTGCAGAGTCTCTGTTTGTGTTCCTCAGTGAAGTGTTCAGGCTGTAGAACCAGCAAGAACACATGAGGTCCAGGATCAGAGAGCCTCACACAGACGTTCACATGTTCTGTCAGTGTCCGTTCAGAGATGTCGGCGTGCAGCAGATCTGGGGTGTTGATCACAACTACATTTTTCCCATCCAGCTCTCCACTGACTCTCAGACAGTAGCCTGGTTCTTCCTCAGTGTTGAACTCAGTCCCTCTTAGTATGATGTTCCCCACTGAACTCCTCTCACACCAGCTGTTCCCCAGCAGTACAACCCTCAGCTCAGACACTGTGAAATACAAAGAGTTAGATACATGCAGATTTTCATGTATTTATGTATAGTTTGATTGCCGTTTAACGGGATTTAAAGGGGTTTTGTCATTACAGCAGATTTGACCAACAAAATACTGAACACTCAGGTGTTCTTAATAGCAGAATACCACAGTTCAGTTTTACTTACTGTCAGGGGGCAGCAACTCATAGCTATGAGTGCGCTTTAGAGGAGGTGGTTTATCTGTTATTGGAAACAATTGTATTAATTACATGTAATTTAAAATAGACAGTACAGTAGTCTACAACATTGAACCAGATAGGAAACAGACACATGGGAATCCTACCAGAATACAACATGAACAAAAAAGAGAAGAAATCCGGAGTGACCCTAGGACAGCCAAGCAGCTGTATTTCTTTATTAAAACACCACACTTGTTTTTGTTTTATCTGCTCCAAAAATACAAGTCAATACTAGCATTTTAAACTTGTGATTAATCATGATAATTAAAGAATCATATTTTTTGTGACACCACTCACGCATATTCAAGGACAGAGACAGTGTTTTATCCAGAGTAGACATATATGACTGCACCCACCTGATTCTGCAGTCGCCATACTGCGCTCTTCTGGAAACAGCTTTCCTGAGCACGAGAAGCTAAAGGAAGAAGAATTACATTTTAGATAATCTGACGGAAAATCGCTTAATTTCAATTTTCACTGACTGTATGTATTGTGATGACCCCTCCACACAACTAGGGGTTCTGTTCTGGCAGGTTCGAGTGCTGTCGGGTGATTATTTGCTGATGAGCTACACCTGGGCCGGGGGTGGCCGGCTCAAAGACAGCCCATCGAGTTTCAGGAGGGCGCTCTCCTTCTTCTCGCACACTCCCCATGTGAGCCTCGCGCCGCGGCTGTCTATTTTGGTATTGCTATTAATAAATAATTGTTATATTTTGCATACCCCTCGTCTCGACTCCCAGCTTTTTGTTAGAGCTGGGTTGTAACAATATATATATAAAAAACCAGTCTTTGATGTTGGCTTTTGTGTGTTGAAAAAAGGCAGTACTGGGTTGCTTCATCTTTATATTTCTTATGAAATTAAGATTATTATTATTTACATAAAACAATAAAACGCTTTAAAAAATAAATAAAAAACTACAATAAACACTTATATAATAATGTTGATAACATTGCTGCACATAATACATTGCAATTTATTTGTGGGATGAGCAGCAGAACTGAGTATGTGGGGTGCGCCCATGAAAAATGTAACAAATGTCCTCTGCCAATGCCAAACAGCTTTTTTTCTTGTTTGGTGTTTTTTGGTGGATTGGATGATTGAAGCCTGATGAAACAAGACATATTGGCAACAATTGATTTATTAACAATTGATTAATTCAGGGCCGGCCCTCGGCATAGGCAGTATAGGCGATAGGGGGGGCAGAAAAAAAAAGAAAGTTAGAAATTNCATGCAAAATGCACTTTTTTATGTCTTTTATACATAAATATGTGTCCCCGGTGTGTCAGGCAACTCACACTGCGTCAGAAAATAAAACCCTCTCTTTTTTCCTCCGTACCCAAATATCTAAAAACGGTGCTACAACGGAG